AAGGGAGATAGTGTTGGCCAAGTCGTCTGGGGAAGTGAAATTAGCATCTCCATAAGGCTTGTTAGCCAAATCAAGTATGGAGCGCTCTAAAGTTTTTAGGTAAATAGATGTGTTGACTGTGGACTTCAGAAAACACTGACTCCTTAGGCCACGTCAACTTCTAGCACATGTGTTGAATGTGTCTGTGTGTATCCGCAGTCCTCCTTCCTCTCAGTCCACTCCTTGTAAAACAATCCTAAATTCAATGAGTGTTGGCTCTCCATCCTCTCACTGATGATGTTGGTTGATGTTGCTTATATACAGTAGCTTATTACAGGCTGATAAATAAGGCTGGCTATGTTCTGGGAACTTCTCCTGAACTTCTGAGATAATTTTTCAAAGGCTTGTTCTTGATAAAATAAAGAATGTGATGGAAAACCCTGACCATTCTCAGACTGTTAAAGACCAGCAGAGTGTCTTTAGAGCTCAACAGAAGTTACTTCCTGCCGACATCTTCAAACATCTACAACAGCTCAATGGAAAAAAAAAAGTTTCGACATTTAATTTTCCTTTAGGATAAATAAAGTATTTTTAATTGAGTTGAGTATAAAAATGTTTACACATTTTTTTCCTTCTGCTCAACTTTCATTGAATATGCTACAGCACTCTCTGAACAACCAGCTTCTTCAGTAAAAACATTGTTCTTCAGTTTACTCCTTATGAAGCTCTTTTAATTATTTATTTTAATTATTTTATTATTTTATTATATTCAAATTTTCCAGTGTATCTTATGAAGAAAGTTTTAGATTTTGCACTGAAATATATTGACTATAGTTATAACATCCTATAACATCCTTAACTTTCAACAATAATTCTCTTCTTTTGTTTTTTCTTTGTTTTTTACAGTTAAAGCTACTATAAACAAGCAGTTAGTATCCTAATTTGGTATTGATGCCATGGTTGTACTTTTTGTTATTCAATCTTAAAAGCTGACGCTAAGCTTCCCCGGGTCATACTGTACCTTATTTTTGATAAAAGTATCCCAACCCCAAGCATTAGCAGGTAGCCACAGACAGTACCAAGCTTCGTATCCCTCCACTTACCCGGCAGGCACTACTTTCATCAGTGTGTCAGGGCTCACACTATTTGGGCTCTAATTTTATCTCAGCCACCAAACTGCTAAATTATTCCTTATTGTTGACTTGTAAACTTATGTTGTTGTTTTTTTGTTTTTTACCAGAAACTGTACTTAAGCAAGAGAAGCAGTAGAAATCGAGCATAATTAATCAAAAATTAATCAAGGCTGAATAAAATTGTTTAGTCTTAAAGCTACTCCAGTGCAGTGTACTTATTTGATGATAATCTCTAATTTAATTTGTGAAAAGAACAAAAAAAGATATAAAGCAATGTTCATATCATGGTGTTTTAAGGAAGTAAAATTAGAAATGACCTAAAATGAATTATATAAAGAAAATACTTAGGTGAAATTAAACATTTATATTTAAATCAATTTCTATCACAAATTTAAGGTTTTGTATCCGATTGAATTGAAGCAGATAATGTATAGTCATAGTCAATAAGTATATGTGATTTAAAAAAAAGTAGCATAACAAATTGGAACAATTTTTAAAGATAATTTCCATTAAGCTTGTATTACTCTGCTAAATAGGATCTTCCTCTCAGCCAATGACTGCTGGAGATCGACACCATTCCAAAGTAAAGACGAAGGATTTCAGGATTAATCTCCCAGATGAATATTGAACAGGAAAGCTGGCAGATCCCTGATGGTTTAGGTGACCCACATGCTTAATTTTAAACTGCTCCAATGTACATTTTGGACTACGTGATTATTTCTTTAACCCAGACACACAGTTTAAGGAGCCTTGATGTTGGGAAATAAATAAAACATAAATATCTAAATGAGAAGTCTTCGTTCAACATTTATCTACAGCACATGTGTAAAGATCCAGTCCTCAAAGTTCGTAGTGCTGCAACTTTTAGCTGTGTCTTTGCTATAGCACACCCGGATGAAATAATTAGTTCATTAGCTTGACTCTGGAGAACTTGACTGAATTCTGCAGAGGTAATTCAGCCATTTTCAAATCAAGTGTGTTGGATCAGGAGCATAATTATATATAATATCACCTGGACTTTAAGATGTTGTCTAAAAGATGCAGGACTCCACCCCACATAAAAAGGATAAAATAAAATAAAATCATTCAATGAATAAACATAGAGCAATATTGATGTCAGTGGATTGTGTTTATGACTTTATTAAAGAGTTTGTAGCAGCAGGGCCGAGCTCAGTTTGTGACAGAGGCATGTGGTAGTGGCACTTCCGGTGGCAGCAGAATATAACTAATAGTGGCACTTTCGATGGCCCTTTCACTGCCATGTGACTACCAAAAAAATGCTATGGCTGTTCCTGCAATGCTGCTGCTGTTTTTGGGCAAACTATTTGTTATAGACGCCTGTAAGTCTATATCTACTTCCAAATATTCATATTTCATTTATATTATTTCTAATAGAAGTTTATGGAACTTTGCCAGGCACCTGCCACACGGTGTCACCAAGCCAGCAGGCCGTCTGCCAAAACTCTATCACTGTTTACGGGCAAACGGTTTGATTTTGGGATTATTTAATACCTGTTCCAGTTTTGCTTTCAATTAATGATGTGCTACATTCATGTCATTTAATAAAGATTTTTTTTAAATGTAATTAAAAAGTTATAAGGTAACTGTTTGTGTGAGTGGTCTTACTAGTGATAAAATAAAACAGATGTGGTGATATAAAAAAAAATCTGGTGAAAAATAAGCTGGCATACCTGTGAAATCAGTGGCCATTTGATGCCATGAAGACGCCATGATAATGCCAGAGGATGCCAGGATGCTACCAAGATGCCAGACTGACTGTAAAAGCTTTCAACATCCCACGGCGGCTGCAGCTTTTTTCCTGGAGGCAATGCCAGTTATTGGCAGACGGGATGTCAGGGTATTTATGAGCTACTGATTGTTAGTAAATAAGTACTTTCAGTTGATGGTGTAATTAGTGCTTTTGGATTAATAAAAAGTGTTAGACGCAAGATATAGTGACTGCATACTTCTAATAGCATGGTATGTATATGACATGCAGAAAGGATGGTAAAGACTTACTGCACAAACAGTTGGTTTAGTGAGTGAGCTGTTACAGAAAAAAATAAATCACTTAAAAACATGCTGGTACTCAGTAGAATTCCCTGGACAAAAAGACGCCACAGGATGCCAGAAGATGCCATAGTAGACAGCAGTGCTGTCTGGCACCCGCTTCACGGCCATGGCAGGCCATAGAAACCAGTGGCAGATGCCGCTGCCACTGCTCCCAGGCCACGACAGGTTATGGAAATTAGCGGCAGGCCGACTGGCACCTCCTTTGGAGCCATGGCAGCAGCAACTGCCACAGCAATTTGCGCCTGCTGTCTCTTTCCCTGAGTTCAACCTTCATTCTTGTATTTATAGAGATTTTGCTCTTCAGCTGAAGGCTTTCCTCGGTTCAGAACTACTGAGGGAGAAGATTGGAGTTCACATGCAGATTAAAGACTTCCCTCACATTCAGGCGCCCTTGCTGCTGTTGTTAGCTTGACACAGAAGGGTGTATATTGTCAACAGGCTCAGTGCTGGGTTGTATGTTTTGGAGATATATAATCTAAGTCATTCTCCTCCATTAAGAGTTGATTTGATATAAAAGGCTCCTTTTAATCCCCTAAAAAACCACAGTTCTTTCTTTCTAAAGTATCAACATATAGTGCTTTAAGAGTTCTCCTGTCACGGAGGTTTAGGTGTTAAGATTTGTGGAGAGGCTTCTTAGTTTCCCCTATAGAAGCCTGGGCATTCCCAGCTCTGTACAGCCTCTATCTGAGGTTTGTACTTGTAGTTTTGCAAAGTTTTTGCTTCTATTCTTAACTTCTAAACTAGTATCCTAACAGAAGAAGCATCTGATGTCCTGTGGATGTATGAGCAGACAAAGGAACAAATAGAAATCCTAAATTCTTTCACCTATGCATCCATTTTTATTATCTTACTCCATAAAAGGTTGTTGAGATGTATTCATGGGTGTTTCTAGCTGCCAGTCCCCCTGTAGAACTGGTTCTGGCCACTGCTTTGGCTCCTGTAGTGACGATTTAGTACAAAATCCATTTCTCATAATGATATGTGCAGCCAGAGAACTTCTAACTGATGGGTTCCTTTTGAAAGTAATTATATTTGTACTTTTACGGTTTTACTTTCAACAATGAAATAAATAAATACAATTTAAATAAAATAACATTTAAGTTTAATTTTAAATTAAATAAAATTTTAAATAAAAAAAAAATGTTAGAACTGTTAATGTACAATTTTTCAAGGCTGCACTTTTAAAAGATGAAATTGTCCAGTGAGCTGTTTCCAAACGAAATGTCTTTTTGTTTTACACTTGTGTAAACAAAATGACAAATAAAATCTGTCTAAAGTCTAAAAACAGTGATTTATAAGTCAAGGTGTTTCACTTAATCCCATATTTGGATAGGATCACTGCTACATTCAGGGGTTTGAAAGATGCAGCTCCAGAGCTAAATGTGGCTCTTTGGCTCATTTTATATATTAAACAATTAACTATTAACTTGTTGTTATTTTTTGTTTTGTATTGTTTTTTACTTTTTCCTATTATTATCTTGTACTGTGCGACCATGGAAGACAAAAAAGGACTTCTACCTTTACTTTGCCAGGGATTTTGTTTATTTTGAAAAGTAAAATGAATGATAATTGCATTTTATCCAATCCATTTTGATCACGAAAAAGAAGAAAATGATGTTTTCACTCCAAATCTTAACCTTTTTATTTTGGTTAGTGTTTTGTTACCAAAATCTGGGAGGATCCTGCTGCTAAAATCCAATCACAGCAGGAATTTCAGGGATCCCTTATCTCTATCCTGTTGTTGGAAAGTGGGAGGGGACAGTCCCACAATCACAGCCACAGCGTGGGCATTTTCCTGCAGAAGTTGCGCCTCAGCTGGAGCTGGACGGCCGCTGCTGAGCTGCAGGAGACAGAATGAAGGCGTTGAGTAAGTGTCAGGATGGATGAGGGAGGTTTGCAGTGGAACAACGCCGCGCCGTTCCGTCTCCGGATTCCGAGACAGTGGCGCATCTGTGCGCGTAACTATCCTCCATCGGGACACCGGCAGAGAAATGAGCGTCTGGGGTTGGCATTCGCTCGATCATCAGCGTCAGAATAAACCGACGGGGGAGTGAAAGGTGCCGTCATGGAGAAACAAACCAGAGTCAAGGAGGACATGAAGGAGGAGAAGCGCAAAGAGAAGAAAACGAAATCTGGGAAGCTTTTCCGAAAGAAATCTCTAAAGTCAGTGGGGAGCTTTATGAACAGAATCAAGAAAACTTTGGGCACTTTCACCCACTTTGGAGACGGAGACGCGCAGGACGCGGAGGACGACGACGGTGGGTTTGGGAATGGCGCACCGTGCACCCTCACCGCCAGCTCGGGGATAATCACCGAGGATGCACCGGCGGCTTGGGATAGAGCGGCCAAACATCCTCCGAGCACATCTTCATCTCTGTGCGCCGGCAGAGAGAAGCTGCTTTACCAGTATGGAGACAAAGTCCCGGGCGTCCTGGGGCTGAAGAACCACGGGAACACCTGTTTCCTGAACGCGGTGGTCCAGTGTCTGAGTAACACCGATCTGCTGGCGGAGTATCTGGGGCTGGAGCGCTACAAGCTGGACCTGAGGCAGAGCAGAGGGAACGGGCTGGGGGCTGAGGACAAGCGGCCCCCCAAAGGAGAGGTCACGGAGCAGCTGGCATCTGTAGTGCGAGCCCTGTGGACTCTGGAGTACACCCCACAGCTGTCAGTGGACTTCAAGGTATACAAACTTAAACATCAGGATAAGGAAAGTCACAGTCATTTAAGGTGCCTTATAAAGCTGAACAGAAACCTTTAACTTAATCCCAAACAGTAACACAGTCTAATGGGATTAGGTGCAAAGCAAAGAGCAAATGATGCGTTCCCTTCAAAGTTTTTCACAGTTGCACATCTGAAAAGTGTGGAGTGCATTTCCATTTAGCCCTTCATGAGCCCCCCCATTCCCCACATTATTTACTAAATCAGCTCTCCACCGGCCTTGCATCTGCACATTAAAATGTTACAATCATTTTCCTTTGCAAAATAGCTAAATAGAACTTATTTAACCCTCAGCATAGCTCTACATGTATGTTTAAGGTTTGTTTTCCTATTGGAAGATGAACCTCTGCCTCAGTATCAACTCTGTCACAGCTTCATCTATCTTCTCATAACATCTAACCATCTAATCAGCTTTTTTTGAGTCTTAAAAAAGGCTTTCACATAAGGTAATATTGACACCACCATCATGTCCCACTTTGATACATGATGATGGTGATGATGGTAACATCTTTTAATGATTTTGTTCAGTATTGGGTTGTGGATCCCATGGGTCTCCTGCCTGCTTCATATTAAAGTTTCCTTCTTTGATTTGTTAGTTTAGGTCAGGCACCGTAACCTGTACATCTTTAGACTTTCCAAAGCAGTTTATTATTATAATAGTAATAATAACAACCAGAAATTATATATATATATATATATATATATATAAAAAAAGAATTAGGATTATTTTACTGTAGAAACCTAAAAAAAGCTGATACTAGCAGTTCTTATTCATCTTTTATATAGAGAGATTTTTTTTCACAACAGAATGACAACATTAAAAACGGGGGAAATTGTTGAACGCTACAAATTACCCTCATTTTTATTTTACTTATATGATGAAAATATGTATATATTTTTTGTATATGATAATAATCATAAAAAATCTTTCTGCTCTGAAGCCTGAAAGGAGAAACATTTTTTTTATCTAATAGAGAGGGTTTTTTAAAGTTTGATCAATTAGATTTTTCTTACAGGGAAAAACATTTTTTTTTGCCTATAAACAAACTTATGCAGGATGAATAGATTGGCTGTATGAATAGGAAAAAATGATCTGTGAGATGTGTTGTCTATAAATACAGCTGTTCTAGATTTTTTCTTCAATTAAACGCTGTATTTTATCTAGAGTTGTCAAAATGAAAAGAGCTGAATCTGCAAGAAAGAAAATGAACCTTCAAAGTGGAAGTCCTGGCCATAGAACTTTCCAGAGGGGGATAATTAGGTGGTAATTAAATGTTGAGGAGAGTTTCAGCAGCCATCATTACCCAAACACCGGCTATAGCATTAATGACCCAGTTCTACCTTAACTACAGATGCTTTCTGCACTGTCACACATAATCATATGTTATTAGGGCAGGATGCTAGAACTCAGCAGGGGGCCACAGACTTGTTTTATTGTCATGAGGCATTTCGGATAATAGCATAGCACCTATTTGCCCGCCACAAGCTCTAACCTGCACGCAGTGCGTTGGCCTGTGACTTCAGAGCTTCCCTACGAGGTGATAATGAGGCTGCTGCTCAGCGTCACAGCAGTCTGGGGCCACAAGTTCAGCAGGTGCCTGACTCACACTCTACTCTAGCAGAGCTGCATAACCTTAAACTTTGAAAGGTATGGAAAAGTTTCCCCCTTAAAGCTAATTCAATATGTTAACTGGAGTTCCTGGATAGATTTATTTTTTTGCTCCCTCAGGATCTGAAAGAGCCCTATGAGAGAACCCTGAGGCTTCCTCACTCTGCCCACTCTGAGACGAGGAACAGGAAGGTGCCTGCCTGCCTGCAGCCCTTTGCTCTAGATTTTCTTTGGGCCGCAGTTCAAGGCGAGAAGTGGATAATGTAGAGTGAAGAAAGAAATTCACAATAGGTTTATTCTTAGAAATGCTAATTACTCTGTAAGAATGGGGGGATTTGACCATTTCTGCAGAGTCTTGCATACTTACTCTGTTACTCAAGAAATATATCACAGTTCACCTGACGCCTGAAAGGAAGCTGTGTCAGAACATCAGAGACATTATTAATAGCTGTGGAGGTATTTGATTGGATTTGATATTATTCTTCACTTATAAGTTGCTCTTTTGCTCCCCTGTGTCTGAAATACCTTCACACCAATTTGACTTCATATTCTACCAATAAATCTTCAACTTCGTCTCTTTTCCTGCACGGTCCACTTCAGCACCACATTCAAAGGGAACAGCATGTAAAACCTCACCACAATTAACAAATAGGTTCAAACAAAAGCAGTAAGCCTGCCTCTTTATGAGATGTTTCCTGCAGTAGTGCACGCACGCCCATGCGCTCACACACTGTTCTTCTTGGCAGCGTTGTGACCGGAGAGAGGCCCAGAGTTAGTGCAGCCTGAGCCCTCAGAAATTGCCTGTTGAGTAATACCACAGCTGCCTGCAGGAAGGATTATAAAATGATCAGATAGCTCCAAAGCTTGAGTTTGAGAGGCTAAATTAGCTCCTAGTGGCAGAAACTTAAAATGACGCAAAGCTTTTAAACTGTTCTACAAAAGAGATCGGCGTGTGTTTTCGTATGTCTATTAATTTGTTAGATTTCTAAGTTGATTACGAGTTTGCTTCCCTCTGAAAGTCATGTGTTTCATCCTCAGAGGCATGGCTAAAGCAGCTGGATTAACCCATTAAGATCTAGTCTGACCTGGAAGCGTGGGAAAAAGGTGTAGGATGTGTTGACAGTCACGTTAATTCCTCCTCTCAGCTTAAAGTTACAAATATATTTTGGCCTATGTTTATAATTTCACATAGATTGCATATAGAGCTATTCTACATTGTGTTGATTTCATGTTTATTGCCTTGGGTTCACCTGTCCAGGGTGTACCCCACCTATCGCCCGTAGACAGCTGGAGATAGGCACCAGCACCCCTTGCGACCCTCCCAGGGATAAGCGTGATGGAAAATGGATGGATGCCTCGGGTTCATATAAAGCATTTACTCATCGCCCTTTGATCTGACATTCCTTAAACTGGCCTCCTTAGAGTTTTATTTCCTGCTGAGGAAAAATAGAAATTTTCATTACCCCCCCCACATTCCAGAACCTCCTGGCTTCAAAGAAAACACAGGTGGAAGGGTGGAACCAATTTCAATAGGTCTACACCAAAGACAGAGCACTACAGCCTTACTTTAGCACTTGGCAAAAGTATTCACACCCCGTAAATGTTCCACATTTTGTCTCATTACATTGAGAAACTCAGTGCATCTTATTAGGATTCAGCAAGATAGATACATAAATTGTGGTACATCAATGTGGAAAGAAAAGAAACAAACTGACAAAAATATTTGAAGTGTTTGCAGAGATTAAAATCATGAGGGTTTGAAGTAGGAAGCGCATACTTTAAGTAAGCCATACTCATACAGCTACTGTAAAACCACAATGCATGAAGCTAATAAATAAAATAAAAATACATGTAACACAGACCAGAACCATGGAGACATCAGGGGAAAACACGCCCAAGGAGCCAGGGAGAGATGAGGTGAGCAGAGAACAGCGACGACAGCACCAGCAACAACAAGGAACCAACAAGGAGTGACTGCAGAGGGAGAGTATATGTACTGTAGCTGACTGAGACAAAGGCAGGGCTAACGAGCTGACAAGGAGCAGGTGTGAGAGGAGACAACGAGGGAGCTAAGGGGAAAGGAACACACACAGGAGGGCAACAGAGTAAACAACAGAAAAACCTGAGAACTAACATAAACTACAACAAAATAGGAATTAAACCAATAAAACTAGTAAACATGGAGCAAAGTAAAGGACAACAGAACAAAATCATGACAATTAAAGTATTTCTGACTCTGGTTCTTTGTTGATGGGACAGGTGTTGTGAATGAAACGGTGCTCAGCTTGAAAGAGCTCCTGTGTGTCGCTGAATGTGAGCATTGATGACTGAAAGACATCTTCTGCCTCCATTTATCTGTTTACTACAGTGTGTTGAATTCATGTTAATGTGGATTTAAAGACATTTCAATTAGTGGAAAAAATTGCAGGGGGGAATATAAAGAAAAAAGGCTAATCAACCAAAACTTTCAAGACCCCCTTAGCAGTACCTCTGTGGACCCCCTAGGGGTAGCAGACCCCCTGTTCAAGACCTCTGACCTAATCAAAGGTCTGCTCTAAATCCAGTAGAGAATATTCTAAATAAATAAAATAGATTTTTTTTTTCACTTTAACTGAGCTGGAGCTAATTTGCAAGGAGGTGTTTCTAAAGGTTTCTGGAAGTGACTCACCTCTAGTTACTGTTACTGAAGCTAAAGTTTGTTCCACAGAGAAACTCAGAGGTAATGAGAACAAATATGAACCACAATTTGTTTTGTTCTTTCTTTTTTAATTCGACACCATGTTTTGAAAAATGAGCAGTTCTCCATTTAAGTTCTCCTTTGGGGTTTTAAACCAGACATTTAAAAGACACTATCTTATGCTTCTGGTATTTTAAACCTTGTCCTCCTTCTCAGCATTCTAATGTCCACAGAGTGAACCTGCTAATGAAATTCCAGCATACCAGCAGCTAGTTTATTTTCTCCAACATGTAGCGGACAGAAAGGAAGTTAATTTAATGATTGAACAGGGAAAATCCTCCCAGCAGGATGTATTGATTGGTGAGCTTAGAAGTTCAACATTACAACTTCTGTGTTTTCACTCACTTGTTAGGGTTTGCAGCAGCGTTTCCCTTCTTCTAGCTGATACTGGAAAATATTTTTTGTTGATTTTGTAGTAAATTACATCTCGCATAAAGTTAATTGTTAGAGAGATTGGGAACCTGCTGCTCAATTTAAAATGAACATTTCTTCTCATTTTGCACAAGCTATGCTTTACAACTTAAAGAACTTAAAATCTTATTAGCATTAAACAGGTGATAAACATTTTAAGTGGAGAAACAAATAAATGCAACTAGAGCAACCAGAGATTGGAAGC